TGAAAGAAATTTTTCAAGGGGGATATAGGAGAAGCTCCACTGTGCTTACCCTAAACCCTAAACCCTGAACCCTAAACCCTAAACCCTAAACCCTAAACCCCTGGCCCCAGCTTCTTGATCTTTTTCTGTGTCAGCCGCGTGCTGCGGCCTTCACGAGCTCGGGGCCCAGGACGGCTTCGAAGCTGGAGAGGATTTCCTCGGGGGTTAGGTTTTAGGGCTTAGGGTTTAGGGTTTAAGGTGTAGGGTGTAGAGGGTTTAGGGTTTAGGGTTCAGGGTTCAGGGTTTAGGGTTTAGGGTTTAGCGTTTAGGGTTTAGGGTTTAGTGTTTAGGGTTCAGAGTTTAGCGGTCATGGAATGGGTTTGGGAGGTGAAAACCCTCCCTGTCTCCTTACACCCCAAAACGCTCTGCACCCGGGGGGGGGGGGGGTGGAGGGGCGAGCCCCGTGCCGCGCGAACTCAACCTCTCAATGTGGGTACCTGGGACCTCTAGAGCGACCTTTCGCAACAGCTCGGGCCATTTTTGCTTCTGGGGTTTTTGGGTGGCCCTTTTGCAACCCCCCACCGCCACCTGGACGTCTTTGAAACTCCTCGAACCCCCCACAACTCTGAAACAGCTTCGGTTCTCGGGTCATTTTGTGGGGACCCCTCTCGGTTGAGAAGCCAACATCCGGGTCCAAACACGCCCTCCGGAGGGCGTCAGATTTTTTAAGGTGCATGTTCAATCACGCGCGAGACCCGGCCGAATTTCGGCTCCTGACGCAGGTTTTGGGTACCCCCCTGTCTTGGGTTTGGGGTTCAGGGTTTAGGGCTCTCCCAAGCCCCTAAGCCCTGAACCGTAGACCCCCCAAACCCCTCGAAGCATTCCCCGAACCCTAAACCCCAAACCCCTGAACCCCTAAAGCCCCAGACCCCAAAATCCCCTAAAGCCCCAGACCCAAAACCCCCAAACCCTACACCCTAAAAACTGAACCCTAGACCCCAAACCCCAAACCCGAAACCGATCTCCTCCACTGCAAGCTGCATCTGGCGGCTCGCGGCCTCCCCAGCCGAGGTTTGGGCTCTGAGGTCTGTTTTAGGGTTCATTGCTTAGGGTTCAGGGTTCAGGGTTTAGGGTTCATTGCTTAGGGTTCAGGGTTTAGGGTTTAGGGTTTAGGGTTTAGGGTTTAGGGTTTTGGGTTTCGGGCTTAGGGCTTAGGGTTTGAGGTTTCGGGTTTCGGGCTTCGGGTTTTGGGGATTGGGGTTCAGGGGCTTGGGTTTGAGTTTATGGGGGTTCAGGTGGAAGTTACCTTCATTATGGATTCCATGCCCTGCTTTACGGGTATGTAGCATGCCCTACTTTGGAGTAGACCCTGGAAAAAAGTATATACTTGTAAGGCATCAGTAGTAGCTATAATCGGAACATATCGGAACCCAGAACCAGAAAAAGTATCAAAGTATAGTACTCCAAAACCCAGTTTGGTAACAGGTCCACTCCAGGTAGGTCTCTTTAGCACAGGACCTTTGACCTCGGGGCTTCAACCCTAACCCTAAACCCCCAAAACCTATAAAGTTGAAGGGTCTTGAGGTTAGGGTTTGATAGGGGTTAATAGGGTTTAATAGGGGTTAATAGGGTTTAAGAGGGTTTAATAGGGTTTAACAGGGTTTAATAGGGTTGATAGGGTTGAATAGGGTTGAATAGGGGTTGAATAGGGTTTAAGGCTCAACGCTTCTCAGCTGCGGGTCAGGATGTTAAAACAGGATTGTGGGCCGGTTGTTGGCTCGGGGATTCGAGCTTAAAGTCTGCTAGGGTCTAGCATTTAGGATGTAGGGTGTAGGGTGTAGGGTTTAGGGTTTAGGGTTTTGGGTCTAGGGTTTAGGGTTTCGGGTGTAGGGTGTAGGGTTTAGGGTTCAGGGCTTAGGGTTTAGGGTTGCGGGTTGAGGGTTGAGGGTCTAGGGTTTAGGGTGAAGGGTTTAGGGTGAAGGGCTTTAGGGTTTAGGGTTTGAGGTCCTCAACCCAACAGCAGAGGCTCCCGGACTTGGAGATTCAGGTGTTTGCATTGGGGGGGCGGGGGAGGGTCATGAAGGCAGCAGCTGGCATGCCCCACGAGCCACATGAAAGTTCACGCCCCAAACAGGCCAACGGCGAAACTCCGACTTTGGGCTTAGGGTGCCAAGGTTGAGAGGGTTTGATTGTCCAAAAACCCTAAACCCTAAACCCCTTAGCCCTAAACCCCAAACCTTTGTTCGGCCCTGAATCGAAACACTAAACCCTATAAACTCTGAACCCTATAAACCATACAAACCCTTTAAAAACACCTATAAACCTATGAACCCTATGAACCTTACAAACCCTATGAACCTTGTGCCTATAAACCCTACAAACCTCATGAACCCTATAAACACCCTGCAAGAACTTTGTACCCTGTGACACTGTGTACCCTCTGTCAGGTCTGAACCCTACAAGCACCCTGTGAAACTAATGAACCCTATAAACCCAAATAAACTCTATTAATAAAAACCTTTCAAAAACCATACAAACCCTATCAGCCCGACGAACCCCACAAACCCCATGAACCCTAAACTACCTGCAAGAGTTGCAGCCGGAAGTCCGAGACAACACACACCTCAACCCCCAACCCTAATGCCCTACACCCTAAACCCTAAACCCCAAACCCTAAACCCTAACCCTAAACCCTGCACCCAAACTCTACATCGCCAATTCCCCCACCTCCTGCAGATGGGACTTCCGGCCCTCTGCGTCGAAGAGGAGGACATTCTTCCTGTCGCTGCTGAGAAGGACTTAACCTAATTTTAGGGGTTTAGGTTTTTGAAGGTTCAGGGCTCTAGCCTTTTTTAAGGGCTACCCTCAACCCTCAACCTCGTTTTGGGTTAGAGCTTAAGTTTTCTCGGGTTCCTCAACAGCAACCCAGCTTGCTGCACGCCTGCCGTCGTCCATGCGCTGCATCGCCTTCAGCGGGACTTCGATGGCTTAGGGTTTGGGGTTTAGGGATTTAGAGTTTAGGGATTTAGGGTTTAGGGATTCAGGAATGTAGGGTGTAAGGATTTCGGTTGTAGGGTTATACCGGAATACCGGAATATACAGAACCCTAAACCCGCAAAGTCAAACCCGACTAGAAGCAGCCCCGGCATCTGCTGCCGGGTGGCTTCTTGTAGACTTGCACTTCACGCGTGCAGGGCTTCAGGAAATCTTCCTGAGGCCCAGGGTTTAGGGTTCAGGGTTTAAGGTTTGGGGTTAGGGCTTGGCGTTTAGGGTGTAGGGTGTAGGGTTAGTCGCTTAGGGGTTAGAAGCTTAGGGTTCAAGGGAATGTTACCGGAACCACCCCCTGAAAGAGATGCAAAAAACATGAGGGTACATAAGGGGTAGCCAGGGGAAACTGCCACGTAATCGTGTCCAAGCCAGAAGGGAAGCCCGCGAGGAGGAGTTTTGGTACCGTACATTCGATACAACCATGGAATCCTTGGCTGCACTTAGGAGGGTAGCTGTAAATTAAACTCTTAGCTGCCTTACTAGGAAACCCAACAAACCCAAAAAGGCTAAGGATAAAAAGTTACAGTAAAGCATCACAAAGTCCTTGCCAGAGTATCGACTTAGCTTAGGGGTCGCAAGGAGCGGAGGCCAAAATGGCACAGCACCTGCTCTAAACCCAAGAAACCTAACTCAAGCCACCCAATACAAAAGCCCCCGAAGCCAAGCACACTGAAACAGGATGCCTGGTTCGGAAAACACTTCAGGGACGCGTCCATCTGCATTCTATCAGAATCAGCTATGGAGTAAAACAGGAACACTTCAACTTCAATCACCTGACCCCAGAAGGCCTAAATGCCAAACCCTCCTGGGAAAGCAGGCCTTGGCCGGCCGCGACTAGTCGCCGAGCTCGTGCAGCACGTCGTTGACCAAAGGTGACTTCCCCTGCCAAGAGTGTGGAGGTCTAGAGTTTAGGGTTTCGGGTGTAGAGTGTATGGTGGAGGGTTAACAGGGTGCCGTTGTTGCACTTTTGAGACCAATCTCAAAGCGGCAGACTTGAAGGCCCCTCCTGTAGAAGCCTTTGCCGAGCGTTGCAAGTTCTTCAACTTGAAGCTGTAAGGGCACGAAAGACGCGGAGGGCTCAAAGCCATGTTCTGGCGAGCGGTCGCGTTTGAAATTCATTGACGGGGACTCCGACTACTCCCTGAACTCGTTGGTTCTTCCCTCTGGGAAGCCAGCTTCTGGCGAGCAGTTGCGGTTGAAATGGCTTGCCATCTACTGGGAGTCAGACAACTCCCTGGACTCTTCGGTTCTTCCCTATGGGAAGCCGAAGTCGAAGGGCTGGAAAAACACGAAAGATGCGGATGCCTCAGAACCAGGTTCTGGCGAGCAGTTGTGAATGAGATAAGAAATCCTACGCAGGCTCAGAGTACGGGCGGCCATCTATTTATGGGGTGTGAAAGCCTGGCTATTCAGTGTCCAGTAGGGCAATCTCAGAGGATGACTCGCGGCATGTCAGGAAGAGGCCCATGCACAGGTGGAAGACCACCATGGCCACGGACATCCCAATCCCAAGCCATGCGTACCATGCGCCACCGAAGAACACGATGTCAAGGAGGCCGATGATGAGCTCTGGGATGTCCTCCACGATGCGCAGTCCGATGTTCAGAGGCTCACGGAAGGACTGCACATTTTGCACTTTGTCCTCCGTCAGCTGCAGTGCGACGAAGACGTTGAAGAAGGGAAGCTCCAAGGCAGCCGCCTGATTCACGATGCCACTCTCTCCCGGTGCCGGCAGGCGGAAGGTGATGCCAGCTGCCAGCACCCAGGAGCACATGGGCAGCAAGGGGCACAGCATGGCCATTGCCAAGACGGCCTTTTCGCCGCCGAGTGCGCCCACGAGGAGGGTGATCGCCATGACAAGTGCCAGGAGCCTAGCAGCAACGTAAGAATGACAAAGGTGCCCTCTTTGTGAAGGTCCCCAATCCTAACCCTCAAAAAAACAGAATAAGGGTACTACCGGGAGTGCAAGGCACACAAAGAACAGGATGAAGCGGCCACGGAGTCGGCGGTATTCCCCTGGTTGTCTCCTCCAGAGACTCTGGGTGTAGAACGCTGAAGTCCAGGCGATTGTCAAGCCGAAGGAAACCAAGGCAGACACCCACAGGAAGTTGCTCAGAGCGGCGCAGCCAACCGCTGCGCAACTTTGATGCTGCATCGTGTAGATGTCATACCTGCCGCAGTTGTCCAACTGATCCACGACGTGGCAGTTCGAGTTGTAGACCTCTGCGTCTGCTTCGCAGACCATGTTCACTTCCAAGCCGGCCTGGCAGAGAGGCAGCCCAGGAATGTCCGAGTCGGGCGGGCAGTCGTAGCTCTTCACGGGCATGAGCACACCCGAGCCGCAAGGCACCGAGAAGCTCACCAGGGTCGAGCGCTGGTAGGCCTCCATTGCGTACAGCATCCTCGGCACTTCGGGGATACGGATTAAAGATTCAGGGCCGCAAGGGGTTTGGTTGCATGAGCTCGGGGCTTTAAAGTGCGGGGCTTCTAGAAGGCTTAACGACTTGGGCAACCAATGTCGTGGCCCTACACTGCGGCGGGGACATGGCACAGACTTGTCTGTCCCAAGTGCTGCAACATGCTGCAACCACATGGGTAGTTCTCCAAATTAGGGTTTGTTTGGGCTCCCCTATATAACACAGCTGAATACGGCACCCTGATGATAAGGACCAAAAAAAGACCATAGTTTAGAGGAAGTACCCACATGTCAATCTTCCAGCTGGGTAGGCATTTGCGACAGGTACGATATGTTGACCGCCACAAGAAGTTTTGGCACATGTGAATGCGCCCGCCTCATTCCCCACCTGCCCCCAAACCGTAGGGCCGTAGGCCTCAAAACTCTAAAAACCCTCCACCCTCAACTCTGATTAACAGACCCCCCAAAGCCACCTCCTGAACCCAAATCTATGTCGTCCAAGAGGCGTTGAAACTAAGTTTCCCGACTCCAGCAGCATGTTGACGGCCAGGATGTAGGGCGATCGTTTCATTATCGTCCGCACCTGCGAGGTCACCACTGCGGCCTGTCCCACTAGAGCTTCCGTATCCGTGGCTTTGCCAAAGGTCTGGGCGCTGGGCGTTGTTGCATCTGTTGGGTTTGATGCCGTCCCAGCTGGTTCGGTGTCGGAGCCTCTCAGGCCGGCTGAAGCCGGAGGTGCCACCATGGCATTCTCAACCGGCATCGTGGGGTTTGCTGGGTTTGCAGCTGGGAGCCCTGGCCTGCCCTGGACAGGGCTGCCAAGTGTCGGGCATTGTGGGCTTCTTGCGCTTGGCTGTGTTGCCACAGATCCGGGTTCGCTGCCATCAGCCGCCCTGCCTGGTTCTGTGTTGGACAAGGGTGGAATGTCCGGAAGCGCCCCTCCATGCGACGGCCCAGATGATTCCTCCGCTGGATGACTTTGCCAACCCTGGCCTTCCGCCTGGCGCGTTGGTAAGTGTGCTGCACCTCCTGCCCGGCACAGCTGCTGCATCATCAGCACCGGCACGGCCAGAGCCGCCAAGTAGCCGCCCAGGGCGGCCAGAGACCAGGCGCCGATATCCGCAAAGGCGAACTCCGTGGCCTCCAGGGTCGAAGGAGCCTCGGTGCGGGTGCTGGAGCTGGTGCTGCTGGTCCTGGTAGCACTTGTGCTGGTGATGGTTCCGGTGGTAGTGGTGGTGCTGGTGACCCACCGGTAGATGCCGGAGTAAGTGTTGTAGGAAGAACCGTCAAAAAAATTGGCCAGCGCCAGGTACTGCACGCCATCAATCATGAAGGCGGACACACCAAATGCTCCAACAGTGGCAAGCTGTTGAATCTCCAAGAACGAGCTACTGCCAGAGTCCCACCTATAGACTTTGGAGTCCTGGTAGTAGGAAGCACCATCGTAGTAGTTGGCAACTGCCAAGTACTGCACGCCACCACTGACGAAGCCTGTCCAACTCAACGCTCCAAGTGTCGGAATGGCCTGGATGTCTTCAAACTCGTCCCTGGCACTGTCCCACTTGTAGATCGTGGAGTTGATTGTGTAGGAAGCATCGTTATGGCTGTTAGCGACTGCTAAGTGCCGCACACCTTCGATGGTGAAGGCATACCACCCAGATGCGCCATTGGTTGGGAGCCTTTCCTCGGGCACAAACTTGCCAATCCCACTGTACCATTTGTAGATAATGGAGTCAACGTTGTGGGAACGCTGACTAGAACTGTATCTGTTGGCAACTACCAGGTGAGGCACGCCGTCAATGGTGAACGCCTCCCACCATTGTGCTGCATTGGTCTCGATACTCTGGAGGTACACAAAGGATCCATTGAACCCCACCCCGCTCCATTTGTAGACTTTCGAGGCAATGCTGTGAGATGCCCCGTTGAAGGAATTCGCCACGGCCAAGTGCTGCACCCCATCTATCGAGAAAGCCGCCCAGGCGTATGCTCCACTTGTCGAGATGTTTTGAAAGTCTTCGAACATGCCACTGGCGTCATCCCACTTGTAGATCTTGGAG